CATCAAGGAATGGCAGAGATCAAGGCATGGGGGTGGAGTGGAGGAAAGTGCATGGGTCCTTGGAGAATGCTGAGGACGTGATGTAGAAAACTGTGGCAGAAAAATGGAAAGAAGTAAAAGAGTCTCAATTGTTTGATTTATTGATTTACTACCACATCATCAAGTCTTCTTGATACGTCTTCCCAAATTATGGCCTTTATTAACATCATTAATCTTTTTCTGTCCCATTTTCTATTGAACATTTTGCTGGCATTTTAGTGCCAGTGCCTCCAAAGGGCAAGGCTGGTCTTAACAACTTGATTTTTTTTTTTTTTTTTGAGACAGAGTCTCACTCTGTTGCCTGGGCTAGAGTGCTGTGGCATCAGCCTAGCTCACAGCAACCTCAAACTCCTACGCTCAAGGGATCCTCCTGCCTCAGCTTTCCAAGTAGCTGGGACTATAGGTGTATGCCACTAGGCCCGGCTAATTTTTTTTAGTTGCCTGGCCAAATTTCTTTGCACTTTTTAGTAGAGATGGGGGTCTCACTCTTGCTCAGGCTGGTCTCGCGAACTCCTGACCTCAAGTGATCCTCCCGCCTCGGCCTCCTAAAGTGCTAGGATTACAGACGTGAGCCACCACGCTCGGCCACAATTTGATGTTTAGACACGCAAAGCTGCTGGACTTCAACTAATTTTAAAATTGCTAAAATCTTGTCTGGTGGCATTACGCCTGTGCCATTATATCAACTTGTCCTTGCCTGGACACAGAAAAGAAATGGTTACAACTCCTGGGCCTTGGTTAACGAGGGTACTGTGGAAACTGGCCTGTATGCAGAGCTGGCAGCTGGAGTCATCGCCTATTAGTTTATTGCCCAAAGGTCTGGGATGCTCAGAGGGCTGAGGCGAACTTGGTTGAGTAGGCATCAGGATCTGCTAGGTGTCCACTTCCTGCTAGGGATGGTATTGGGTTTTGGAGTCCAGACTGTGGACATTACTTGAGGCTGTATGCTTCCACAGTAGCACGATGCTGGATGATGTATCTCTTTATGGTAGAACTTGACAGGTACTAAACACAAGAAGATATAGAAATTGGAGTTCCGGCTCTCCAAAGAGAGGGCTCATGAGAGTTAAGCAGGAGCCTAGGCCTGGAGTATCAGACAGGACTCTAGTTCTCACCAGGGAATTGGGTATTCTCAGCAGCAAAGCTCTGGTATGCGGGCTGAGACAGCATGGCGATGGTGGTGGTAGAGAAAGCTGAGTTCTCCGTGTGTCCCAGGCTCTTGCAGATCTTCCCATACTGGGTATTGGGTATTATGGGATGGCACATTGGGGTGGCTGGGTTATACTCTGTTCCAGTCAATACTGGATAAAACAAAGAGGCTGAACCTGCCCAGAGAGGGAGTCAATGCCTCACGTGTGAATAGGGTCAGGGAACAGCCTCTGAGACGAAGCCATAAAGATTTACTGGGCTCAGAATCAGGACATTTGGGGGTCAATTCTAACTCAGGGACTGTCTCTCACATAACCTGAAACAAGTTTCAGAACTTTTCTGGGCCTTTGTTTCCTTGGTTGACTGTGTACCTACCTGGGGTCAGGTCCCATGTTTTATTCATATTTGTTTGGTAGCATCTAGCACAGTGTCTATTCCATAGAAGACAGTCAATAAAATGTGTGCTGTTTGAATAAGTGAAGATGTGACTGAATAGAATGAGATGAGCATGAGGAATCACATCAGTGGTTTAAGGGAGAAGGGCCTTATCAGAACCAAGGTCCTTACTCTCAGCCTTTGGAGTCTGACATTGACCGCCATGCCCTTTGAGAGCAGTGGCCCACATAATCTGTCTTCTTAATAGCTTTGTAATTCTCTGATTTAAAAAAATTGAGAAAGTTTTTTAAGAATTTTTTTCCTCAACATTCACCAGCCAAATGTTATAAAAAACAAAAACAAATTACTTGTAGCCTCAAAAGCATCCTCAAAAAAGTCTATTTACTAGGAAAGCTCATGTGTGGCCTTACAGAGATAGCATAGAACCAGGAAACCCTTTGACATTTGCAAACGCCGTGAAACGCCAACGAACAAGATAATCACACTAAGATCAATGGGGAAGGAAATAGATTAAAAACATATAGAATTTATTTCATCTCATTATGGTCAATGTGCTCAGAAGAGGTGATATTTTGTTGGGGTGGAGACAAATGTCTCTTAGAGTGAAAGGTCTTCTCCAAGAGTATGTGAGCACTTTTCACTTTTGCTAAAGATGTGGGTGTCTCCAACTTTAAGTCAAATATTTAAAACTGTGAATTAGGGGACTAATTGTTTGCATTTAAAATACTTCATCTAGGGCTTTTTATATATTGAGTGTGTGCTTGGGAGATAGATAATAGATAGATGGATGGATAGATATTAAACATTTTGGAAGATAAAGAATAAGGGAGTAAAAAAGCACTCATAAACTATTATAACTACTCTAAGACAGCCAGTGTAAATATTTTTGTAAATTGTGCACTCTTTCTTTATATCCAATCGATTTTCTATGAAGAATATTTTTAAAAAATTATTGTGAATATAACATATACATGTTATGTACACATATAATATACATATATGTCTATGTACATATTCTATTTCTTTTTCTTTTACATGTTACCATAAGTACTTTTCAATTCTAATTTTTTAGAATTATATGTCTTACAACTTACATAACAATTTTTCATTCAACACTCTTTCCCCTAATCCAGTCATGATAGGACATGTAGATTGTTCAAATTTTTTGTTGTTAGATATAATGCTAGGATACATATATACATTCAAAAATTTCTTTCCTGCATGTTGAATTATGCCTTGAGGATAGATTCCTAGAAGGGGAATTACTGGGTCAAAGGATATGACTACACTTATGATTCTGGATACATGTGACCAAATAGATCTCTGAGAGTCATGCTAATAGACACAGTAGGACCCAGTCTCACTGCATTTCACCAAAAGTTATTTAAATGTTAGCTTCCATAGTGGATAAAGTGTTGGTTCAAAGATCCTGTAACTACTTGGCAGAGAGGCTGACAGAGGTAGGAAAAGGTAAAGGGAAGAAGGGAAGAGACACTTACAACTCAGGTGCAGCATTAGAACTGGATATCAATGATAACTGACAATTGGTTAGAAATTAATGAAGTATTTTTGAAATGTACATCAACGCAATAGCAGTCCTCTTACTAAGTCGATATTGCAAAGAAATAAATGATTCAGGGTGGACTGGTTGATGGGAATCAACTCAACCACTAATTTGCCAGGTGGTCTTTGCAAATCATTTCCTTCTCTGGACCTTTCTGAACTGTAGAACTGGTTAAGTTGAAAGACGAGTACAGAGGCTTTCAGAATTTAGAGTATGGGGTTGTACCCAGATAGTGAAGACAAACTCATAAAATTATAAGGTCTGGCCCTCAGTTCTTCTTTAGACACCCTGAGTTACCACTCTGATGAGATCCAGAGTTCTACTGGAGTTGTGCAGGGAAATAGCAGACGCTCTAGGAATCTCAGGGCTCTCTCAACTTCAGCAATGACTCCTCAAGTTCTATATGTTTCATATGAACTGATGGCAAGATCTTTGAGGGCCTTGTTTCCATGGAGGGTTTCCACAGGGAAGTGTTCAATGTGCAGATTGATGAGGTGGCTTGAGTCATCTACCACCATGACGACATTTGTTTGCCCTTGGTACCTCCCTAGTGTTCTTCTGAGAGTTTTTTATCCAGATGATGGCATACAGAAATGAATTAAATTGCTTTCAATTTAGTAAACTAAAAGAATAAATGAAGTGACCCCATTTCCCTGACTCTATTCTAGGAAAATGATTAAGTGGGAAGCAGGACCTGTCAGATTTCAAGAGAGGCCAGGGTCACTTTTTGAAGGTTTCTGGTATTGAAAAAAAAATAATGATATACCCCCCCTTAACATATATATATATATATTTTTTTTTTCCAGGTAATAATAGACTTTATTTTTAAGAAAAGGTTTAGATTAACAGAAAAATTGAGAGGCTAGACAGAGAATAACCTTACATCTGGTTTCTCCTATTATTAACACCATACACTTGTAACAATGAAACAACTCTTAGTACATTATTATTAACTAAAGTCCATCATTGATTAAGATTTAAGTTTACCTTATATCTTTTTCTGTATTTTGCTTCCAACCAGGAATCTGTATTACATTGTCATGTTTCCTCAAGCTACCCTTGGCTGTGAGGGTTTCTCAGACTTTCCTTGTTTTTGATGACCCTGATGGTTTTGAGGATTATTGGTTTTTTTGGAGGATGACCCTCTACCAGAATTTGTCTCATGTTTTTCTTATGATTAGACTAGGATTGTGGGAGTGAGTCTATAGAGATAAAGAACCATTTTCATCACATTCTATCAAGGGTACACACTATCGATATGATTTATCATTGTTGATGTTGACCTTGATCACCTGGCTGAGAGAGTGTTTGTTGGGTTTTTCCATGTTAAGTTACCTTCCCCCACCCGTTTCCATACTGTGCTGTTTGGATGGAAGTTCCTCTGTGCAGCCCATACTGACAGAATGGAGATTTATGCTCCCCTTCTTTGAGGGCAGAATATCTATATAAATTAGTTGGAATTCTTCTGTATAGGATTTTTGTCTCTCTTCTCCCCCATTTGTTAATTTGCTTAACTATTTATGTTAGTATGGACTCATTAATATTTATTTTATACTTTTGGTTATAATGCAAAATACTATTCTATTTGGTTGCTCAAACTGTTTCAGCTTTAGCCACTGGGAGTTCTTCAGGTGGCTCCTGTGTGTTTTTGAAATATTCCTCATCAATGTAGTTTTGTTTTGTTTTTTAGTAGTTCCTTATTTTATGGAGCTGCAAGATGTTCCATTCTCATTTTGTATATTTCCTGCCCCAGTCCTAGACTCAACCATTTCTCCAAGGAGCCTTGGTTCCTGTTACTGGGAAATGGTATTAGAAACCAAGATCTGGGCACTAGATGTGCTTGCTCCTTGTCATTGCTTCTAGGCTAAATATATTTTAAATCTGACATTTTAATACCAACATACACACAATTACAATACAATTGCACAAGTTGTAAAACAATTATAGATTAACAATATTAAATCACAGTATCATAGGAACCTGCGGTCCTACACTGGGATCCACACGCAAAAGTTGCACACGATGGTCTTCTTTCAATTGTGCCAGGGTGCTGCTAAGATTGAGGTATAACGTTAGCAGAGATAATGTCAAAAGTCTCAATTCGAGAACTTCTCTCAATGTGAGGCCACAGCAAATGACTCTTCTGCAGGGCTGCTCACCCCATACCCTCTTTCCATAATAAGCCATAAAAAGCATAGTGGATTTAGAACTAGGGCATCAAAATTCTGGACCTAGTTCTGTAAGCGATGAGGTATATGTGGCAAATGGATTCTGTCTGGGCTTCAATTTTCAGTGATATAAAATCAGTAATAATGGATTGGATAATGGCTAAGGACCCTCCCAGTTCTGGCATATTGTAACTCTCAATAGTTTTACATTGAGAAAATGTAATTGGCTCCACCCATCTTTGTACATAGGCTCAATATTCCAGAACGTCTAAGCCAGTGAGGGATGGGTGGTGAGAAGGTCACTGCTAGTAAATAACAAGTCATTTTATTATTTCCTGGGCATGCAGACGTCTGTTAAAGGCCTTAGGTTGTCTAGACAATCAAGTTTTAGAAACTTTAGATCTTTCCTTTTAAAGACTGGAGATCAAGAAAGCATAAGAAATATTGATGGAAAATATCTCTTTCATTGCTTTTAAGTTTGTTCCGATAGATCAAGATCTCTTCTCTTTCTCTTCTTTTCTCTCTCTCTCTCTTTTTGGTAAAGGCAAACTCCTCATTTGTTATTTCCTCTAACAGGAAATAATTACCTTTAATGCAATGATGGCTGCATTACCTCTAAGCTTATTACCAGGAATCTCTCTCTAGATTTTTCTTATCTTCCTTTGTGTGTGTGCATGCATGTGTGTATGTGAATGTTATGATGCATTTTTCACATCCACATGCAGCCCAGTGGCTTAAACACTATCCAGTGTACAAATGTCATCTCCTTCCTATCATTGACTGGGACCTCTTCCAAAAACAAACAGAAAAAAAAAAACAAAAAAAACTATAGGGCAGAAAAGACACTCGGGATCTGTCAAGTCTGATTATAAATGCTGGAGATCAAAAGTACAAGGTCTTAGAACCTGCCTCCTCCAGCAACTCTTAACATTTAAAATCTTCAATTGGCTTTTGGACCCACTCAGCATAATCCCAGACTTTGGTCTATAATTGGTTAAAAATTGATAGAGGTGAGGATTCTGGGACTGCCTTCTTTACCTAGAAGTTTACATTTTAACCCCTTCCCTCAGCCCAGGCACACATATACACACAGCTCCTTTCCATCTCCCCCACCCGAAAGTTAAGTAAATGTGTATTTAGATGTAAAGGTATAGAACTTGGAGCAGTCAGGCAGCCTGCACATCCTCGGGGTTATTCCTTACACTGTTGAGGGAACGGAGTCCTCACAAGTGGCTTTGCTCACTGTCCCATAAGGAGTTCCAGGCAGAGCTGTAATTAGAAACCAAGGTTTTTTTGGCAACAAATCCAGTTTTTTCTTCTCCCTACACTGTGCCCCTGCGGAGTTACATTTTTGTGTGTGTCTCTGTATGTACATAGGCTACACAGACACTGACATGTAGGAAACACGCACCAAGTGTCTGTAGTCTGACCTCAGGGAACAGTTTAATGACTCGGATTTCAGGCAGCTGAAAGGTTTCTGCGGGTGGAGGTCGAAATAAACAAGAAAAGCCACTGTGGAGATGTGAATGGAAAAGTACCAAGCCCTCCCTCCCTCCGCACATTCTTCCGCTCTCCAGCTCTCCCTGCCGTCAAGCCGGCCTCAGATAGGCTTCTGCACGGTCAGGTGTACAGAGGGCGGTGTGGAGAAGAAAGGAAAAAAAATGCAGGCACAACACGCAAATCAAGTTTTTCCACTTCTAGCCTTAGGTAGTAGAGACAGTGAAGTACAGCAGCCAGCAGCCTGGCGGGAGGGTGGGCCAGCCACCCTGAGTTTACAAACACTCAAGTGCTTTCCTCCTCTTATCCCTCTCTTAGCCCAGCTGCTGCTTTCCCTCATGCTAAGGTTTTATAGGAAGTGAAAACCCTGCTATTCAAAACAGTGATTGAATGCAATAAACAAACGATTGTGTACCCCACCCCCACCACTTCTCTATTTTAAGCTCCTGATATTTATTGCCATTTTAAATAAGTGAGAAAAGTGTGGAAAATCACTGTTTTGGGGAAAACTAAGTCAGGCTGAAAAGTTTTCTAAAGGAAAAAAATCTCAGAATAATAAAGTTTAAAAAGGCAGCATATGGATCAAAATTAAGCAATAATATTTCCTTTTTAGAAGGTGGTGGCTAGAAACCATCTTTTTAAAAATGTCTCAAAACTTTCTGCTCCATTTTTTTTAAAACATATCAAGAAACCCCTTCCTTTCTCCAAGGATATTATAGTGAGCTTGTTTACAATAGTTCCAAATGAAGGATTTGAAATAAAATGGAGAGGCAAATTTTAACAAGTCAGATAGATAACATCTCCCATACCCATTAAAAGTAATGCCAAGTAGTGCAGCATAGGTGAGGAGCATAAACAAACCCAAATGACCCTCAGCACTCCTGTGCTCATCATGACTTGGAGTTCCTTCTGAGAACCAGTTTACAGCTTTCGCAGAACCCAAAGCAGCCTTGCTTTCCTCAATTCTGCCAGAAAACAAGATACCCACCTCCAAACCCAAGTTGTCAGGTTGCCCTGATCCTCTAAAATGACACAAGACCATCAAACCATTCAAATCCATTTTCAGCTATGTTCCAGGGATCACACACACCTCTCGTGAGGGGCCAGCCTGTGCTCTTGAAAGAAGAAAGACTAGAGGAGTTGAGAGATTAATCTGCAAAATTCCTTCCAGTTCTAAAATCTATAATCTATGATGTGATAGTTTAAAAGCCTACTAAAGTACCAGAGGTTGCTGACAGGTGAAACTAACTTCCTGTTTTGAGCCCCCTTAGAAAGAGGACAGAACAGTGTTTATACCAAGGATAGGTTCCTTTTCGGCAATGGCTGAATTGTGCGGCAGGTTTTTCGAGGGGAACTGGATGTGAAATCTGTTCCTTTCCTTAAATAGATGTAATATTAGCACTCGGCTATTTTATTTTGTAATAAAGCTTATATTTACTCAGCAGCTGTGATCAGAAACCTATTCCTACGCCCAGTCCATGGGGCAAAGAGGCTGGCCTGGTCCTTTATTCTGAGTATTAACAACCAGTAACCATTAAATCATGGGATAAGTTGATATGTAGTACCTCCAAATCTGCAGCAATCATTCGGAAGACCCCGGCCGTGGAACCTCTCTTTAGAGCTTCTTAAGGATGATTTAAAAGAATCTGAATATATTCAAGCCAGTCCTTTCTTTAATCCTATACCATAGTGCTGCTGGAGTGAGGGAGGTCCACATACTGATGCCACCTGGATACTGAAGGGGAGAGATCAAGAATGAGACAAGGAAGGACATTCTGGAAGAAATGTAATTGGTATAAAATTTGATAAAGTTACTTTCCTAGGAACTGAAAAGAGATTGAGAGGTGGGTGCGCAATTTTCCTCACCATTCATTCAGTTGAGAGAAAAAGAAACTCACCTAAAATTAAGTGTCTATCTTTAGAATGTTTTGAATAATCCTTTTTTCTCCCTCTCTTTCTTTCTAATGGGTCTCCTTCTGTTCTGGTCAATTTCTTTCAATGTAAACACACTGATTTGGCAAAAAGCAGAAGTAGAAATGTGGGACTCTGGCACTTGGTCCCACAAATAATGTGCTGAAAAGGTTTGAGGTCTCTGGTGATGGGGTTAATTATCTATAAAGCAGGCCTGGTGGGTTCCCCCTCCAGGGGCTTGGAGCAGAGAATTTAAGAGGGCTGGGGTATGAGAAGGGTGAATTTCTTCCCAGCCCCCACTCTGGCTGTTCCTACTGACTTAGGGAGATTTCCCTTTGCTCTGCAGCGCCCCCATGGGGCTAAGAGTGGAGTGGCAAAGGGAACGCAGGAGGGACAAGCTAGCTGTTGTGTTTAAGGGTGGGAGGGTGGATAAGGCAGGTTGGCAGCTTTGACCAAAAAAATGACCAAAAACTATAAAAGTCAACCTATCGTAGGACCAATTATGGGGCAGAGCCATAAAATTCACATTCCAAACCATATAGATATATCTGAGAAACCCGAAAGTGCTAATTGCTCATAAAAGAAAAAAAAATCACACATATAAATACACACACAAAAAATCACTTCAGCAAAATCGGGGTGTCATTTTGAATCCAGTGGGATTCCTTTAAAACTCTTTGAAAATGAGGGGGAAGAGGACTCAAATAAAAAGCAAATTGTCTGTTTTCTGGCAGAATAAATCCAAACTTGACAATATCATGTGTCTTTGGGGGTAAGATGTTCATTTCAAGCACAGTGACAGGATTAGGCCTATGTATATTTTTCAAAATTTCTTCACAAGATAGGCTTTTCTGCAGAGGCTGCAGTAATCCATCTGTCAATATGTATTAAAATATTCAGATTTCACAGGGACAGACACTTAGGCAGATTTCCTAAGCTCCAGCCCATGTGGAAAATAAACCCCTTTGCACCTTCACCGGTTCTAAAACCTACAACACAGCCTTTAAAAAGGGGTGGGAGGTATGTCGACCACAGCATCTTAAGCAATAAATGAAACTTCTTATGGGACTGTCAGTGAACGAGACCCCAAATATCCCAGGAAACAGCCAGCAATCTTTCATAGCTCTGCTCACCTCTCCATTATAAACCCAAATTTGGGGTTCGGATAGGTAGATTACTTGGGGAGATATCTTTATTAGAAATTAGTATGTGAATCGAGTTTGTGGAATCTTTAAGAATTCATCTGTAATTTAATGAGTCACTTGAAGGACTCTCATAGCCAAGGCTCAGAACAGCCTGACCTTTGAAAGCTGTGTCTGGTCCAAACATTTTGGGTTAATTCTTGAGGAATCCGAAATATTATTTTCCCCTCACACCCTTCTTTTAAGAGAGAGACATAAAAGAAACAAGAGTCTCCCTCATTCAGGGATGAGTAGGAGGGGAAAAAACCCCAACCAACATTTAAATAGGGAAACTGGCAGTTTTGAAAAAACAAACTAGGGCCCACAATGAAATGATTCTGCACAGCATTTGCCTTTAAAAAGAAAGAAAGAAAGAAAGAAAGAGAAAGATTTCCCTCTCCTCCTCCTCCCCCCAACTCAGCTCTAGAGCTAAGAGGATTGTGCTGCGTGCAGTGCGTTGTAGTTGTAGCACAGTCTGTTCTAAATACACGCAGTATCTGTGATACTGGCACGGCAGGCCTTTAGAATTCTCTCCGGCTGATCTGCTAAACACAAACTGAAGAGATTTTTTACAACGACCTTGAAACGAGCCTGGAAAAAAAATATCAAGATCTTAAGAAAAAGCAAAACACAAACATGTATTTGGCTCACAGAATTTTGTAGAACCCACACGTACACATAACCAAGCACGCACATAGGCTTCCTGCAACAAGAAATTTCCTAAGAGTCAACAATAACAGAAAGAGTAAACCCACCACTTGCTGTCCTGGAAAGAAACAAACCAAACCAAAACAAGTCCTTTGAACATTTCTCTCAAGTGCAGGAGAAACTCACTTCAGTACAAGTCCAAGGGGAAAAAGAAAATTGCACCAAAGGAAAAAAAAAGAAAAAGTGAGGGTTGGGGATTGTTAAATACGACCAAAAAAATTCAAGCTTCTTTCAATAGTACCAGTATTGAAATGATACATCTTCTTTAAAACTCTTGAGAAACGTAGGGAAAGAAAACACACACACAAAATCCAACCGATGCCGGATCCTACGATTTACGTAACACAATAAACTTGCAAAAAGCAAAAATCAGAAGCAAAGATCCGAAAATCATCAAAATACAGCAACCCCAAATCCCAAGTCACCACACCAAAAGAATAAAACCCCAAGACAAAACAAAAGCAAAAAACCCTGTCCCAAATAAAAATAAAGCAAATGAACCCACCGAAAACTGCTTGGCAAATATTTTTCTCGTGGTGCCTAATATTCTAGCTGGAAAGAGCTGTGGTGTTTATTGTTTTTTTCTCTTACTCGCCTCTCTAAACCTACTATATATACCGTACTTTTTCCAATGGTTCAAACCTCTCGCTCCCTTTTGTGTATTTAGCTCAAGGAGCTGAGTTTATGGGCAAGAGAGGAAGAATTAGCCCCAGACCCCGGGAAAGCAAAGCGCACTCCCCCTCTTATGTCACCGAATAGCAAATTAGTTCTCAGAATTCCAGAGGCCGAGCTTTGCTACAGCAAAGTCGCCGACGTCACAGAGGAGGCGCCCACGTGACGGTGGCGGAGCAGGCCGTACCACCGTCTCGGGTCCGGGGAGGGAGGGCCGCCTTCTGGCCCCTCGAACCCTGAACCGGAACCTCGAAATCCGAGACGCCCAGTCTGTGAAGACCTCGAAATATGCTGGACAGTGGAAAAATATTGTGGCTTTGAGGGCTTTTTATGTGAGAGGAGAGTTAAAAATCTCGGAGAGCTGACACCGAGTCCTCCCCTGCCACGTAACAATGGTAAAGTCCGCAGCTCAAATTCCGAGAATTGAGCTCTGTTGATTCTTAGAACTGGGGTTCTTAGAAGTGGTGATGCAAGAAGTTTCTAGGAAAGGCCGGACACCAGGTGATTATTGCTGTTGCTGCCGCCGCTGCTGCTGCTGCTGCTGCCGCCGCCGCCGCCGCTGTTGCCGCTGGTGCCGCTGCCGCCGCCGCTGCTCATGATCATTATTTTACCTTTTAATTCTTTTTTTTTCCGCTCTTGCCAAATGCTTTGGCTCCAAGTTTTCTATGTGTATCTATTGATATAAATGTATATATTTATTTATTCTAGCTGTCAGGTGTTAAAATAAATGCCGAAGATTAGTCCCATGTCTCTCCCACTCTAGGATGTAGATTTTTATATATTTATTATTATTGTTTTTGTTGTCTTTGAGTGAATCGGCCGGTTTGGGGAGGCTTTGCCACCCTCCCTTACGTTGTTTTGGTTTTTGAAAAGGAGGTGGAGGAGAGGAAGGAGGGGAGTTAGGGGGCGGCCGGAGCAGAGAGGACGAGACAGTGTTTGGGGGGTGATTCGGGCAAGTCTGGGGGCTGTCTGGCCCCAGACAGCGAAGAGGACGCGCGCTCGCGCTCTCGCTCTCTCTGCTGCTTGCGTACGGCTTGTGATCTCTGGATTCGTGCGGCTGTGTTTTTCCCCTCTTTTCTCGCTTGCAAACTGCTTTCTTGCTCCCTTGCTCCTGCCTCCCCTTCCCTCCCTCCTCCTTGCCCTCGCCTCTTCTTCCTTCCCTGCTCTTGTCCTTCTGGGTAACTCCGGGAGGCGAGGAGAGAGGCTGCCCGCTCGCTCGCCCCGCTGGCTCCCTTTCACCGGCCTCGGTCCTTAAGATTCCCTGCCTTCGAGGCGAGCCGAGATTTGGGACGAAAAATGCAAGCGAACTCTTCGGGGTTTTTTTTGGTCATAAAACCAGATGAGATGAAGTATCGTGTCTACTATTTCCTTTCAGAGCCGTCATTTTCCTAACGAGAGACGAATGTTTTGGTGTCCTTTTCCCCTGTATTTAGGAAGGTTTAGCTTGCATGGGGGCGGGGATGTTGAATACTTTGAAAATTATTCTTTCTTGGTTGTAGTCGAGGGAGTCGGGAACCCCCGCGCGCTCTTTCTGCCCATTCCAAGGAGAGAGGCTGATGGCGGGACAGGGATTTTGGGGGTGGGTGGGAAAGGGGTGCGCATTTGCACCTGCGGTGCCTCTCGGCGTGCGTGAAGCCGTGACAGGACAGCCTAGGAGAGCGAGAAGGTGGCGGGATTTCTGGCGGCCGAGGTGTTTGTATTTTGGGCGCTGCGTGACTCTGTGTTGGCTCCCAATGGCTGTTCCCTCCCTTTCCTAAATTTTATTTTATGTTTCCCATGGTGCAACCTCTGTAAAAGGGAAACTGCGGACTTGAGCGTAGCGGACGCCGGGCTCGAGATTCCCGAGGACGCTGGGCGAGGGGAAAGACAACAGAGCCCCAGCCCGCGTCCCTTACGTGCAAGACCCGGGAGGAGAGAGGGGCACTTTGTGGCTCTGGCTGGGGGGCCCCGCGCGGGAGGAGCGGGTGCGGGCGCGAAAGGGGGATCTTTGTGAGTGATTTTGCAAAAATAGATTGCGAGGTTGGTTGGATTTGCAACCTGTGGCTCTCCTCGAGGGACTAGGAATGGGGGAAGGCGGCGGCGGCCCAGGGCGGGAGCCGGTAGGCAGTTGGAGGCTCGGAAATCGGCTGCGTTCGAGGGCAGCTGGAGCTAGGGGCCACCCCGCCTGCAGGATGTAGTGACCGTGGTAAATGTCTTGGGAGCTGTGGGTTGCGTTGCCTCTATGATGCCATGTTATAGGAACCCTGGTGAAAAATGGAGCTAGTGTTTCAATTTGAGTTTTAAAGCTCCCCCGTGGAAAGCAAGAACACAACCCTACCAATTAAAAAAAAAAAAAATGAAAAAACGACCTTCTGTGGTGTGCCCCCTCTCGCAATGGTTAAGAGTTGGAGGTGGGGGCGGTGGATGTCCTGACAGTTGAGCAGGGGAAACGACCCCAAACCAGGTGCCGAAAGTCCAAAGCTGTTACAGGGTTCCTGACCATCTCTGAGAGCCATTCACCGCTTCCCCCCACCCCAGGAAACTGATTTAATCTTTTATGGGCTTAAAAAAAAAATCAGTTTATAGTTTCCAGGAGGAAAATCTTGTAACGCTTTACTTTTTTTTTTTTCCTTCTGTAAGTAAAGTGTCAGTAGATGCGTTTTTACAGTCCGGAAAAAAAAAGTGGGGCAGGAGAGAGGGAACCAGGGAAAGGGCTGTTTAGAAATACAGTTTGTGGCTCTGAGCGATGCCACCGGCTTCCTCTACAGAGACTGCCAGTTTCCCTTTTTCTTTGCAAGGTGTGTGTGGTTTTAATAAATAACTTAAAAAAAAATGAGAGGGGGCCCGGCAAGATCCATCAGGAGACAGGTATCTATTTTGCTCACTATTTACTACCAAGAGCCCTTGGCACGGGAACAGAACCTCGTAAATCTACAGCCCAAGTTGAAGTTCATCTGGCCCTGGTCCACACGCTATTCCTGGAGGTAGCAAACATGAGCTCAAAGGAGCGAGGTGAAATCACATTCTTGCTTTAAAATACATACTTTTTTTTTTTTAAAGAAGAAAAGATATTTGTCTCTGGGGGAGGAGGAAATGGAGAGAAAGTACCAGGAGATGGGCATTCCCTTGCTATAATGACTGCAGTTGAGTCTTCAGGCCAAAATAGAAACCTGTAGATGGGAAATATCCCCCCCCCCGCCCCCAGTTTATAAATAGAAGTTTCCAGTATCCTATTTGGAAGATTTTCCAATACTGCATACTCAAGTATTGGCTGATTTTAAGGGTCTGTTGATAGTGACAATAAAGCTAGATGCTTTTCATAAAAACGAAATGACTTGAGGAGACAGCCAGGAAAAGTGGGAATTTTCCAATTGTTCTTTTCTTTCTCTGTCCAGTTTTGAAGAGTTTTACCCCCATGCTTTCTTGAAAAGGCTGTCTAATTTGTCCTGGGGTTTGGTGGACAGGGATGGGACTCTAGATTCTCAAACTGTCGTTTGCTGAGTCCTTAAAGAGTTCCAGTTATAGGTTGAGTAAATGGTAGCCATGGCTAGATGTCAAAACCCTTCTTCCTTCCCTCTCTCCCCCGCTGGGTAGCCACACTCACAACCCACTTTGTTGTGAAAAACTTGAGATTCAGAGGAGGTAGTGCGGCAGCGCCACCCCCCGATGGGTGAAATTATTGGCAAAAGTCAAATATTTGAAAAATACTGTGAAATGACCTTCTGAGACATTCCCCCCACCCCCGAGAGATTAAAAAAAAAATTAGGAGTGATAAAACTAACTTTTTAAAAGAGGACTTTGTAATTAATCTCTCAAATAGAGAAGAAAAAGTTGCTTTCCAGCTAGGACAGTGTCATAATAGGCAACGTAGTTCCAGTAATTTGGGGTGGGGAGTGAGCCTGATTGGCTTTAAGTAGAAGAGTTCTCCAGGTGGAGGTAGCCTGCCTTCCCCCTTTGGACTTGACTTCTCAGGGAATCTGAATTCTGCCTCCTGTCTGACGTTGAGAAAAGGAGAAATGTTTTGGTGTGAAAACCACAGTGGCTGGAAGTACTGTTTTGTCCGCGGTGGTGGTGGTGTATGTGCGGGTGTGTGGTGGTGGCGGTGGTGGGGAGAGGTTTGTGGATGGCGTGGAGTTACGGTAGGCTGGTCTGTAGCTCTCAGGGAGTCAAAATAGCATGGTGCATGCTGGTTTCCAGCACTGCGCAACAAGTGGGACCGCTGCCGCAGCGATCCGAGCGAGGGTGCTGTGTAGTGGCGGAGCCTGGCCGATTTCTCTTCGTTCCAATGGAAGCCAGGAACGGCTCCTCCCAGCCCTCTCGGTCTCCCAGTCCGAGACCAGCAGCCCCACCAAAAGGCCCCCTCCGTCCCCGCTTTGCCAGGCTCAGTAGTAAGCCTGGGTGGGACTCAGCCTTTATCCCCCAGGTCTCCCTTCCTCCGTGATGATCAGGAGTTTATTTTCGGGTTTTTTTGCTGGTCGGCTAGTGTTTGGCAAGAATCTCTCTCTGTTAATACCGTCGAGTGCCATTCTGCTTTTTGAAGACAAGTGCACCCTTTATTGCCCTGCCCAGTACATTCAGCTTTTCGGAAAAAAAAAAAAAATCAACTTGTTTTACATGAACGTAGCTCCAGATATTGCGTTGTGGTTGCTAGAGGCGTGAGCATCCGGAATAATGGAATTACATCCACAAAATTAAATGTTTTCCAGCTTTGGTTTTGGAGGCAACCACACCACCAGCCCCACCAGACAGAAAAAAAAGCGGGGGCTGGGGGGATCGGTTGTGGATGGCTGCGGCCGTGTGGTGGTTCTCGGACGGACTGAGTCCGCCACCTAGTGGTGGGTCGCAATCAAGTTTTCCGCCTGGGGTAGTGGGCCGACTGGTTCCTTTTCGGGTCTCGCAGTGTCCTGGCCAGGTGCTAGGACTGACAGAGGGAGAGCATCCTTCAACGGGGATGGCATACGACCTCCGAAGTTTTGACAAGACAGATGAAAATTATAAATGCCCCGGATGCTCGCTCCGTCCACCATCACCCAGCGACGGGCATCTATCTCCACTAAGAGAAACCATGAAACAATCCGCTTTGAACACACTGTCTCCCTGTCACTGTGACCTTTCCCGGAGGAAGTCGGCAGTGGAAGGATGCCATGTAGGCGCCCAGGGGCTTCAGGACTGACAGCTCTTGAGGAAACTGGCCTGGCGAGGGGGCCTGTTTGTGGCGAGTTAGGGACCTAACAAGGACCAGATTTTAAGCTTGTGAATTTCAGGTCAGTGACTTAATGTCAAAGGCGAAGTTATCTATACTTCTCTGAAGTTTGTAAGAGAAGGGGGCAGCAGCCAGAGCCATGATTTTAACCTCTTGGGTCACCTGAGTTGCTAGCGAACATTGGAAACGGTTCCTCAGCAGTCTGGGAGGAATTTGTTTAGAAAGCATGGCTTAGGATTTTCGGTTAAGGACGTGAAAAGCCTGCAGTAGTGCTGGGGTGTGTGTGTGGGGAGGTCTCAAAGCTCGGGGGTTGGGGGGAGTATGTACGTGCTAGCGGGGTGGTTCCGGCCTAAACAGGAGACTTAGAGGAGTGCCTCACTGCGACCGAGTCTCACTTTTGGATCCTTCCCCTTCCTTCTAGCCTTTGCCTAGTGGTCTGGCGAGAAACCGGATGTGTGTGTGGTGAGGGAGAGGGTCCTGTGGACAGGCAGAGCGTAATTCTCGCAGAATTTGTGCCGCAGCAGCTCCTCGGTAAAGTTTTCTTTCCCGGAGCTCGTGACTTAAGATTGGCAAACGCGCCTCCGCGTGCTGGCGGCCCCTAGCGGCGGCCGGCGCGCTCACCCGCGGGACACGCCGCCGCCCCCCGCGCCCGGGTCCGCTGGGATCGAGTTCGGCCTCTCCCACTGCGGGAACCGTCCGAGGCCGCGTCGGAGAAACGCGCCTCTGTTCGGGTTGGAAACGAATCTGGGAACGTGTTTGAAGCGCGGTCAAGTTTGACTCATCGCTTTCCAAGGACAGTTAGTGCCTTCCATCTTCATTAACGTGAATAAAGACCTTGGCTGACTTCTGTCCAGATCGGATTTTTAAAGGCATTGTTTGCTTGGGGAGATCATGCCTCTCCCCTCCCCCGCCGGCCTTTTTGCAAAGGCTGAGCCCAGTCCAGCCAGGATGGCCGAGAGATCTCTGCCTGGGGACGTGGTTGGCTGGCGTTGTCTGCGGGCCCTTCTGGAAGGCTGTCTCCCGGGCGTATGGGGAGCGTCCCACTGCAGCTTCTCTTCAGATCTTGATGATAAAACACATCCCTCTATTTTATTGCATTTCCTAGAAGCTTGCAGGCTTGCAAGAGCGCTGTTGGCAGGAAACGTGATAGAAATGAAAGTCAGGACGTAATGTCCCCGAACACCTCGGTTACACAAAGCGGCTGCCGAGGCCATCGTGTTATCAAATTCGCTTTTATCTACTGTCGCCTTCCCCACCCTCCCGCCTTCCCGCCCCAGTCGAGAGGCAAAGAGTGTTTCCCCCTCAGAACAAAAACAACTCCGCGGTTTGACCCCATCCCCTGCTGTCGGACCACTGTGACTAGATCCGTGCAGTTTGTTGGCTGAGCGGCTGCTGGGACCGGTAACCCTCCAGCAGGAGCCCCGATGCGGATTTCACTGCGGTAGCTCCAGCCTTATTAAAATTCTTTGTTCCTGTCCCTAAACAGTGCTTTGCACTTTCAAATTCCCCATTTGAGTTTTCAGCGAGTTATTGGAGTTATTAGATTACCAATAATCCAACGGCTGGCCTGGATAGAGAGGAGGGGGAAGGGCGGAGGGCATTCTCCAAATCGGGAAGGTCTGGCCAAACTAGGTCAATGGGAAGGAGAGGCGGGGCGAGACGGGGGCTGTGGGTTTCAAGCCTTGACGGAGGGCGCTCTCTAGCGTTAGGCAGCGGTAAAAACACGCTCAGGTTTGAGCTCCCGGAACCACTGGGCCTCCTAATTTCTAATAAATCCATTTGTTTAATTTTAATTTCCGAGATTCTCACCCCCACCCCAGAATTGAATTCCAGCCGTCTCTTTCACCTTTGTCCAACTGGGCAGAGGAATGAGAAAGCCTCAAAGTAGGATTTTGAGACCGAAGAGGCCAAGTCTTTACGGACGGACTCTGACCCCTCCTCGGTCGCAGACTGGATGCACCGCGCAGTGTGGCGCCACCCTCTAGTCTTAGGGCTGCGGCCTTTGAGGCTGAGTCATTCGCTGTCCCCTGTCTCCTGAAAGCGCCTTCCACAGCCCGCTATCGAGACCCATTTGGAGATGGCGCCCAGGGATTATAATTCCCAGGGAGGCCGCGGGAAGGGGAGGCAATTTTGGACTACGCCAGTGCGCGCGCTGGGGTCGGCGCCCCGGCCTCCGCCGAGTCCAAACCGTGTCTCTACTGTTTCGGGGAAATCGGACTCGGAAATCCCTAAACCTGGCCAGGTTCGGCCTGGCAGCTCCTATTCTAAATACTTTAGGCGGAAACTAAGTCGAGCTGGGTTCCCGTTCTTGCCAACGTAGGCGGAAGGGACTTTCGGTTTAGTTTTCCTCCAACTTGGCTGGGGCGTGCAGGATGGAGGAGACCCTAAGCCCTAGGGACTCCATCTTTTTCGCCTTGACACCTCGCCTAACCATTCCCTTAAAGAAGTGGCGGGGGGCGGGGAGGCAAAAAGAGAGAAAAGGAACGACACACTGGGCCAACAAACGCCGGAATTGGGCAACTTGGAGTCAGGAAATGAGTCTCGGATTGGATCCGAACTCCTGGTTCTAGACCAGCTCTGCTACTAACTTGTCTGATTTCCCCGTTTATAAATTGTTGCGGGGGAGTGGTTGGACTAGATGAACTCTGAGAGTCCTGGACTCGGCGCAGGCGAGGGATTTAGGGGAAAGTGCGCCGTATTCCCCGCGAGCCTTATCCCCCCACCCGCCTCCCCCGGTGAATCCCCGGCGGCCAGCACGGCGCGGGCAGCGATCCTGGCTGCAGTCGGGGCCCGGGTAGCTTCCTGGAAAGTTAGACAGGCAGAGAGTATTCTGTGAAATCCGCAGAGCCGAGATCGACTACGTTCCGGGAATGAGAGGGCTGTGCCATTCCCCTCCCTGCCCCCTGCCTTGACGGCATAACAGGAAAAAAAAAAAAAAAAAAGGCATACACACAATGTTAGCTATCGAGGTGCCCGAAAAGTTTTATTTGAATGTAACTAAATTAAGGGCCACCACGGTCACACCAGGGAGCCTCCACCGCGCCTTACAGGGGGCTTCGAGGTGGATGGGAAGTGGTGCCCGCCGGTCGTCCAGAAGTGGGCAGTCTCTGGAAGACAGGTACGGTGTCATAGGGGTAGGCGAGTCTGCGCAGGCTTGCCCTGGAGCGCAGGGCTTGTGTTTGTGCTCGTGCGTGAGCGAAAGAATGGGGCTGCCTGGTGCCAGCCCACTGGAGCAGGGAGGAAAAGGATGGGGTCTTTCGCACTGGCTCGCTCTCTCTCTCTCTCTCCCCCCACCCCCTGCTCTCCTCTCTCTCTTTGCTTTGCCTTTTTCATTTTCTGGTTCCTCTGTTTTCTTCTTCAATGGTAATCTCCTGTAGACAATCTGTGTAATTGGATGTACACTAGGAAAGCGAGAAAGGAGAGAAAAGGTGTGGCGGGTGGAGAAGACAAGGTTTAACTCTCTCTTGGTGGTTACCGAGCCAGCGGGGGTGGTGGGGTGGGGGGTGGGGTCCAGGGGGGCCAGATCTGGAGCCATGCAGTTGTCAGTTTCCCATTGACAGCCCTGCTCTCTTGGTGATTGTTTTTGTGGGATGAATGTTGTGTGTGGCATTTGTGGTATGGCTGAATCTAGTAGATAGGGTTTGTCCAGAACTTTGCTAGAAATTGGCTTTGAGATCTTGGGCGAGGCTTATCCCTTGGAGTCTCAGTTTCCTCCCTAGTAAATCAGGGCTGTTAAAAGGATAAGATACAATAATGAGTGGGAAAGGACGAAGTGGTATGTAAATCAAAACAAACAAACATTGGTGGTGATTCCACACCTGCAGCATGGGGGGTGGGGGCGGTGAACCCACACACTCAGTAGTTGTGGGACCTCCTAAAACAGAGTTAGCTTACAAAGGAGTGAACTTAATAAGGACGTGGGCCTCAGTGTATATGCATTTGTTTTTGGCCAGGCAGAGGCTTAAGGTGAAAAGCTCAAGGACTGGCTGACAGTGGACACAGGGGAATTGTTTGTTTGTTTCAACCCCCATCTGGAGTGAGTCATTGCCACTTGTCATGGTGAAATGGCAAATCTGGGCTTCCTGTGGTTCCAAAAGTCTGTGACTGGAAATCCTCAAGTGAACTGGTTGTTGAAGCTGGTTAAAGGACAGCCTAGGTATTCCCGAAGTGTTTGAGAATCTCTTCCCTGAGGGAAGAAGAGAAAGTTTTTAAATAAACCTCACATGCGTCTTCTGCATTCTTTTTCAAAGGAGACAGTCATTGAACTGTGGTTAGGACTAAGTTAGTAAATCTCTTTCCCTATCTTGAGTTGGGATGGGGAGAGGAGGAGATAGGTTCTTTTGTGTTTTTCTGTCCTCTCCCTTTCCCCATTTCCTTCCCCCAGTCTCCACTCACTCACATGCACACACTAACCTTGAAGCTGATGAGATTGTATGACTGGCACTTGGGACCACAGAGAAATGTCAGAGTGTTTGGTTACAGACTCAAGGAAACCTCTCATTTTAGAGTGCTCATTTGGTAAGACTCAGCAGCCTGGAATGGGGCAAAGTGTTTGTGTGGGGTAGGAACTTAAAAATGAGATTCACCCACATCAGGGTGCTGTCTTGCATGTTCTACAGCACGTAGGCTGATTTGGAAAGGGGACAGGAATTTGAGCCAGCAGACCTAGGGCCCGGTCACCAACCATCTACGTGGCCCAACATGACCCCACTGGCCTCAAGCCCCTTTACCCAGAACACAGCTCTAAAGGGCTCTACTTTTAAAAAAGGGGGAAAAAAAAGTCAAAAAATAATTTAATTTGGAAGCCGCAATCCGGGAAAAAGGAAAAGCCTAAAACCGGGCCTTTCAAGAATTTTTTTTTTTATAGAAACCAATTTGGAGTGGGTACATATTTTACTAAATCTCTTTAAGGTTTAGTGCTCCCTGGCTAGTTCTCAGCTAAGCCACACAGTTAAGTCTTTCACCAGCAGAGAGAAGCACAAACTTGAATGCTGTAGCACTCTGTCTGGTCTTAGACCCAGTAGGGAAGGGAGAGGAAACTTTGAAAAAGAGGGCAAAGTTTCTCAAGGAGCGTGTAGACATGACATCTCAGGTTGTATGCTGCAGATTCTGTATTCAGTCTGAAGCGTTTCAGACAGGAAATACTGCCTAGCTATTTGTCCTGAGCGAGCCCCTTGAACCCCTCCCTGCATCTCAGTTTCATCTCCAGTGAAATAGGGATAAAGATATTGACCCTATCAGCCTTGTGGAATCATTCTAAGACTTGAAAGATAATATCTTAGCAGGTTTTGAATAGCGTCCAGTGTTTTTAGGCCCCTTGAAGAATCGTTATCATTAATATTGAAAGAACCACTTTTCTTGTTTTTTCTTTCCCATAAACTCAAATGGCCTTCAGATGGTATAAATTTTTTTCTTTGAGAAAGGAAATATATATGTATATGTATATGGAATTAATGTATGCAGTTATATTCCTTGTGCTCAGGGTAAAAACATTATTATTGCATAGCTTTGGGTGCCTGTTGTTTCCTTAAAAGCAGAGCTGGAAAATGTTTGCTAGTTTGTGGTAAAACTGTACCAACTGGCAGGCTGCAACTATCAAAGCAAAACTAAATGTGTGTATCCTAAAATAAGACTATAGTGGACAATCTTACACTCATTAAATCAATTTATGTTTGCTTTCTTCTCTGCAGGTTTTAAGCAAAATTTTGGACTGTGAAGCAACTCATTGGGTAAGTAAATCAAATTAAATGCTTTAAAATATTGGAGACAAACTATTTGTTTTGAATTTGCCAATGCATGTGTTTCTTTGATCTTTGCCACTCTTTATTAGACGAGACAAGGACAACACATTTCCTCTGTATCACTCCCAGCCCTCACCTCTTCACCTCTGCATTAGACTGTCTTAATACTGTTGTATGGTCAGTTATTCTCTTGCTTATATCTTAGTTCATACTAACTTAGCCACCTACTGTGCACCAACAGTGTGACTCACTGTACAAAGTAAAACAACTCTATAGCCCAATAATGGAGAGAGATGGGTGGTGGCTGGGATAATGAAATGAAATGCTTATGATAATAGCTGTGAGTTTTGAGAACCTACTACAGATGAGGCACATGTCTCTAATTTTCATAACTACATGGGTATTACTACTCCCATTTTGGGAAACCAAAGCAGTAATGAACCTGCTCCAAGTCCCATGGCTGGCAAAAGGCAAGGCTAGCCTGATAACCTTCAAAGCATGGTTTTTCTCCATTGCAACATCCTGATTGCCTCTCAATGCTTGGCAGAGTATTTGGTATGTGAAAAAAACACTCAGCAAATATTCCTTCCCTTCCTTTTTCCCCTAAAAGTCTTTCTATCCCAACTTGTTGGATAAAGATAACTCTCCCCATTTTATAGCTATGAAAAGTAATGCTCAGAGTTCGGTTATGAATTGTTTTAAGATCAAACACAAGGGACCTGAGTTGCATACTATACCTTAGCAGGCTGAGCCATGTGCTTTGGTACCCCTGATAAGCAGGAAGCAGATTCTGGAAAACAAACAGAATTTTGGCCTCTTTTTTCAGGTGAAGACAAAATGGCCTCACCGGCTGACAGCTGTATCCAGTTCACCCGCCATGCCAGTGACGTTCTTCTCAACCTTAATCGCCTCCGGAGTCGAGACATCTTGACTGATGTTGTCATTGTGGTGAGCCGTGAGCAGTTTAGAGCCCATAAGACAGTCCTCATGGCTTGCAGGTGAGGGGGCTGGAAGGTGGGCGGATGAATAAAAGGGTAGCGACAGTGCTGGCAGCTGGCAAGGTACAACACCTAGGCCTCTTACTGTGTCTAGGATGATGCCTCACTTTGTCTCTAGATGTTAGCACATGGCCTGAAAGAGTAGACTCCCAGGAAGCAAATGAATGAGTGTACTTTTAGAAAAGAAATAGTTTCTGTTCTGTGGGCATAGTGGGGGAAGAAATCATATACTGCCACAAGAAAGGATGTGTTTGGAACAAACATAGAGAATAGCTTCAGTTAATCAGTGAAAAAATGACAAAAGATTTCAGATTAACTTGCATTGTCTTTAATTAGTTTGAGCAAGTTAATCTGAAATATTTTTCTCTTTTATGCTCTATTTATTTTATATTGCAACTGTATTTCCATGGGTGTTCAGAGTATATGTAAGAGTTAGTGAGAATGAGCCATCTAATTCTTCATGTTTGTCAAATATTTCAAGTTTTCAAAGCGATGTTATATTACATCATCTCCCTGGATCTTTTGTTTTATGGATGGCATTATCACCGCCATTTTGTATATAATAAAAGGAAGGCACAGGAAGGTGAAATGACACAGAATCAGGGATCTCTATTCCTATTATAGAACTTATCCATCATCTATTGTAAGCATCAGTTTTTTAATAATGGTAAGAACGGAGGTTTATAAAAACATAGAAATAATAGATAATGTTTAGTGAGTGCTTACTGTGTGCCAGGCATCATTCTATACCCTTTACATTTTCATTTTTGCCACAGTCCTACAAGGTAGACATTATTGTTCCCCCTCCTTTGAAGTAAGTAAACCAAAGTGTAGAGAAGCTGAGTATCTCACCCAAGGTTGCATAGCTCCTTACTGGTGGAAGTCTGGCTTCACTCTTGGCAATCTACTCAGAAAGAGTAAAATCAAGAATTAAGATGATAGCCCAGAACTCTGGTTTCTAATTGAGTACTGTTTCCTCTACCAGACAGTCTGGTACTTGGTGGCATGGCTTGAGGTTTGACTTGGATCTTCTAGGAATAATTGACCTTCTAATAATCTATGGACTGTGAGAAAAGTAGAGTGTAGGTGTAGGCATATTTTTATTTATTTGTCATTCATACCAAGCTTACTTCTAAAAAGTACAAGAGAATTTTTAAAATAAGGATAACGCAATGGAACAAGAAGGGAAATGCTTATCCCAAAGATACAGGCTAAGAATAGTTACTGCAAATGAATGCTAAATTTAACTCTGGCAATCCACGCAGTTAAGAATAAAAGGAAAACAGGCTCTGCCGCTTTAAGAATATCACTTAACCTCTCTGATCTTAGTTCCCTATTTGTAAAGGTGGAGAATAATAGTACCTAACCTACAAGGTTGTGAGGAACACAGGATAATGTATATAAAGTGCTTAATCACTCTCAGGCATTTGATAAGCTCTCCATAAATGGCAGCTATTATTAATTGCCTTCGAAGTTCTGGAGGTAGGCCCAGGGGAGAGGGGCAGAGCATCAACCCTGGCTGTAAAGGACAGCAGATTCTGTATGTCTACTGTATGATGAATTGCAGATTCTGTGTGTTTACTATATGATGAATCACAGATTCTGTATGTCTACCGTAACAGGGCGTTTGTTTGTTTTACAGTGGCCTGTTCTACAGCATCTTTACAGACCAGTTGAAATGTAACCTTAATGTGATCAATCTGGATCCTGAGATCAACCCTGAGGGGTTCTGCATCCTCCTGGACTTTATGTACACATCTCGGCTCAATCTGCGGGAAGGGAACATCATGGCTGTGATGGCCACAGCTATGTACTTGCAAATGGAGCATGTTGTGGACACTTGCAGGAAGTTTATCAAAGCCAGGTGAGCTGCCATGCCACCTACGTGGAAGCCTTGGAGATAGAAGGGGTAGTCCCCAATCAGAAACCCTTAATAATACCTGCATGCAGAAAAAATAGTCCTCCGTGATATGCTGCTATTGTACACTTTTGCACTTCTTAATTCTTGCCCTCCAAGAAGACTTAACTCCTTGCAGCTATACAGATATGTCCTGTGCAGTATCACCTCTTGCTTTTTTCCATTCACTTAATATGCCCTTTCCTCCTACCCATTCTACGAGACCAAGCTTGGAAGGCAGCTGTTCCATGGAAGTTGTTTGGATTACCACTCTTCCTCCTTTAGCTCTTCTCCTGTGTTCTGAGGCATTGTGCCTGTGCTTCAGACCTTCCTTCTATTTTCATATTTGCATATATTTTAGTTCTCCTTTAGACTTCTGTTATGACCATTTACATTTTTGCCTTAATTGCCTACCAGACTGTAGGCTGCTCAAGGGGGCTGCCTTACTCATCTTTTATGTCACCCTGCTCCTACTAGGGAGGACATTTGATAAATTGAGTTCACAGGGCCCAACCCCCTACCTGAGGGCTAGTAAAACACGACCATCATTTAAAGGAGAAGAACCTAAGATCCAAAGAAGTGAAGAGCTTTGCTAAGTGGAACAGAGACTCAGGTCTTAAATTCTTCAGAACCATTTGACCTAGCCATGCTAGGGTGATTGCATCTTCACTTAAAAAGAAGAGTTTTCTAGCTTGTGTTTGAGCACATCCAGGAGCAAGGAACTGAGTGTTCCCAGAACCACAGAATCTACCTTGGTTAGAAAGCTCCTCATTATGGCGAGTTGAAATTTGGCTTCTTTAACCTTCACTCGTTGATTCTAGCTCTGTTACCTGTGATCATGTTGAGCTGGCTTATTTATTTTCCCCACATAATGTCCCTCCAGGTATCTGCAGCTATAGCTGTTTGTCTCCTATGGGTGATAATGGTGGCAAGATCATCATTGCTGTCATTTACAAGTACTTTCAACAGGTTAGGCTTTGTGCTCAGAGTGGTTAAGTAGCTTGCTTCAGGTCACACAGCTGCTAAGTGGCACAGCTGGGATTGTAAACCAGGTCTGTCTGCTCTAGAGCCAGGGATTCATACACTGGCATTTCTGCTTGTCCTCTTGTAAATTTCCAGTCAGCATATGGGGCAAGTCCTTTCTTTGATGGGGCACTAGTTTGTCTGTGACCTTCCAAAAGTGTGGTGCCAGCATTGTGTAAATTCTTTCCTCTCTGTTTCTGTGTGTGTAAAAGGGAGTCAGTAATACCTGACTTTCCTTCCTTGCAGGGTTTTGCATGAGCAAAATGAGATAGGGCTTTGATAGCTTTATGTAAGCTATAAAATTCTATAACATCAACAGAGTTATAGATTCACACACATGCGTAGATATGTGCCTTAAACATACAAGATCATGTCTAAGCAGGCACACGTTGTGCAGGTAACTCGCTTCCCTTCTCTGAGCCTCAGTTTCCCTAACTCTAAACTAGACTGCTAGGCTTCTGGCATAAATGCCTTGTAATTGTATTTCTCTACTCCAGAGCCACGTCCCCTGTGTCTAGCTAACTCAAGCACAGATGTGGTTATGTAAGAGTGTCACTGGACGGTTATCTGTTTAACAGCTCTGATTTGGGGTCCGGCGTCTTTTCACTTTTTTCTCCCACAGTGAAGCAGAGATGGTTCCTGCCATCAAGCCTCCCCGTGAAGAGTTCTTGAACAGCCGGATGCTGATGCCCCAAGACATTATGGCCTATCGGGGTCGTGAGGTGGTGGAGAACAACCTGCCACTGAGGAACACCCCTGGGTGTGAGAGCAGAGCCTTTGCCCCCAGCCTGTACAGTGGCCTGTCCACACCGCCAGCCTCTTACCCCATGTACAGCCACCTTCCAGTCAGCAGCTTCCTCTTCTCTGACGAGGAGCTGCGGGATGCCCGGATGCCTGTGGCCAACCCCTTCCCCAAGGAGCGGGCCCTCCCCTGCGACAGCGCCAGGCCAGTCCCTGGGGAGTACAGCCGGCCGGCCTTGGAGGTGTCCCCCAGCGTGTGCCACGGTAACATCTATTCACCCAAGGAGACAGTCCCAGAGGAAGCACGAAGTGACATGCACTACAGTGTGGCTGAGGGCCCCAAGCCTGCTGCCCCCTCGGTCCGAAATGCCCCATACTTCCCCTGTGACAAGGCCAGCAAAGAAGAAGAGAGACCCTCCTCAGAGGATGAGATTGCCCTGCATTTCGAGCCCCCCAATGCGCCCCTGAACCGGAAGGGTCTGGTTAGTCCACAGAGCCCCCAGAAATCCGACTGCCAGCCCAACTCGCCCACAGAGTCCTGCAGCAGCAAGAATGCCTGCATCCTCCAGACCTCTGGCTCCCCGTCAGCCAAGAGCCCCACTGACCCCAAAGCCTGCAACTGGAAGAAATACAAGTTCATCGTGCTCAACAGCCTCAACCAGAACGCCAAACCAGAGGGGCCCGAGCAGGCTGAGCTGGGCCGCCTTTCTCCGAGAGCCTACCCTGCCCCACCTGCCTGCCAGCCACCCCTGGAGCCTGAGAACCTTGACCTCCAGTCCCCAACCAAGCTCAGTGCCGGCGGGGAGGATTCCACCATCCCGCAAGCCAGCCGGCTCAATAACATTGTTAACAGGTGATTCAGAGACAGTCTGGGTCTGAGGTCGGGGGTACCTGGGTAGGCTTCCAGGGTTATTTCTTCTGATGGATGCAAGGGCTGTGTTCTTTTCTTGCCCAAATTGCCGAGCCTGTTAGAGGAGAGGAGTGAGTGCCTATTGAATGAATTAGCCTAAGTAAGCAAGTATATTAAGTACTGTGTATTTTTTCTTTTTTCCTTTTGTTTTTTGAGACAGAGTATCACTCTATTGCTTGGGCTGCAGTGCAGTGGTGTCATCATAGGTCACTGCAGCCTCAAACTCCTGGGCTCAAGCAATTCTCCTGTCTCAGCCTCTGAGTAGTAGCTGGGACTACAGGCGCACATCACCACACCTGGCTGATTTTTCTATTTTTTGTAGAAACGGTGTCTGGCTCTTGCTCAGGCTGATCTCAAACTCCTGGCCTCAAGCAGTTCTCTTACCTCAGCCTCCCAAAGTGCTAGGATTACTGGCATGAGCCACCATACCCGGCTTTGTGTATTTTTTCATAGCAAGAGAGATAATATTCTTCTACGGTAGACGAGCATTCCATAAATCCCACAGGTACTTTCTGTGGTGTTGATGTGTTAGGGGACCCTCATGCTCCCCTTGGACTGAGCGGGGCTGTGGGCTGCAGTACTGAGGAGAAGAAACTGGGCCCTGGAGTGGGGTTTGGGCTTGGTTTGACCCTGGTCAGTGAGCTTTCTGCAGATGCTGTTTGGACGTAGGCTTGAAGATAACTCTGAGACCCAGAGCCCAGGCCCAGGGAGGAGAGGATGGCTTTGAGGCTCTGTCCCAGGTGCTGAGGCTCTTTTTGCTCCCCCACAGGTCCCTGACAGGCTCCCCCCGCAGCAGCAGCGAGAGCCACTCGCCGCTCTACATGCACCCCCCAAAGTGCGTGTCCTGCGGCTCTCAGTCCCCGCAGCACGCAGAGATGTGCCTCCACACTGCTGGCCCCACGTTCTCTGAGGAGATGGGAGAGACCCAGTCTGAGTACTCAGATTCCAGCTGTGGTGAGTCCCTTTCCCTCCTTCCCCTTGCCAAAGAGAGGGAATACCCTTCTGCTCCATGGGTTTTGTGTTTCCATTTTATTTACACTGTCATCTCTGATTGGGAGAAGTCCCCACTTGGAAGTCCACTGGCAATTAAAATCACCAGCCAATCACCATATACTTCACAGACTCTTAGGGAACTGGGATGATCAAAGCAAGGGATGGGGTTAATATAGGGTAATCTTCATTCCAGTAAAGGTAGCTTGTGGGGCTGGCTATCACTCCCGGAGCTTTCTCCATCCCTCTGTACCAAAACTACAGGTATTGATCTGTATGCATGTGAGTTCTCCCCGCTAGACTGTAGCTTTTATAAGGAGAACCATCTGACCTTATTCATTCCTGCATCCTCCATAAGTCCTAGTAGGTCCCTAGTGTGGGACTCAGTAAATGTTAGCTGAGTTAAAATGGTTGAACTGAATGACGAAATGGAAGTTTCTGGATAGTCGGTGATTGGCAACCTTGCTTTTTACCAGATAAAAAGCACTTTTCACCCAGCTCTGGCTACAGTAATAGAGCCCAGTAATACCTAACTAGGGTTAAATCACCATGACATGTCATTTTCAAATTGCTATAACGAAAGAAAAAAATTGGCTGCTTGCACCCAAAGGTTTGTCACAAGGTCATGGACCTATGGTTGGGAGAGCAGGGACTGTCCTTGTCCCCTGGCTATTTGCCTTTGCTGTGTGCTCCAGTTCCTTTGCTCTGGGCCTCTGTTTCCACATCCGCCATCATCTTTGGTCTCTCAGTCTCATGGAAGTGTTTGGGAGATGTGTAATCCAGACAGGTGCAAGAATGACCATGGAGTGTTCATCATTAATTCCTCCTTCAGGGACCTCAAAGTATGATTGAATTTGAACTATCTTAGATTCCTATAATGCCTTGTGTTTTCATTTGTGTAATATCATATCCTCCTGTGAGGCGGGCAGGACAGAGATTTATTATTTTGACTTTGGAGATAGAGACATAGAAAGAGGCTTGGAGAGGTACAGGTTCTTGGCCTGAGGGCTTCTGTGTGTAAATGTAAATAAAACTTTGAAGTGGTTTTTAAAAAAGGTTGGTTCTCAGAGCTCTTGGGGAAAGCAAAAGCTCTGCTGAGCCTTTCTCAAACTGGTGCAAGTCATATGAGTACCTGTGGGTTTGGGCTTCCCTTCTGTACCTTAATATTCAATCTGTCTCCTTTCTCCCTCCTCTGTGGCTGAGACTCTCAATGCTAGGAAAAAGAAATCCCCACAGGTCCTTTGCTCTGGGGTCCCATGGAGTGGTGGGGGGGTGGGGGCTGGGGGATCCTTTGGCGCAGGGGATAGCTACCGAGGAGAGAGGACTTAGAGCCCCACCTCCCTTCCTCGCGCTGACTTTGGTGTCCCCCTGCCACCCTCCAACAGAGAACGGGGCCTTCTTCTGCAATGAGTGTGACTGCCGCTTCTCTGAGGAGGCCTCACTCAAGAGGCACACGCTGCAGACCCACAGCGACAAACCCTACAAGTGCGACCGCTGCCAGGCCTCCTTCCGCTACAAGGGCAACCTCGCCAGCCACAAGACCGTCCATACCGGTATGGCTCTGCCCCACACTACCCGGAGGCAGGACAGGGAGAGGGTCCGAGAGAAAGCAGTGTGGGGCCTTAGGACCTGGCAGGGTGAGGCAGGGAGCAGGCCCCGTCTGGGTCGAAGGACGGCCTTGGCCTTGTCTTTGCTTAGTGGCTCATCCACTCCCTGCATTCTGTGACTTTCTTCTGAGATTCTCTGTCCTGCTTCTCTGCCTTTGCTGGGGTCAGAAGTGTTAATCCGACAGTATAAGTGAAGAAACTAAGCCTGATAGAGGCAAGGTGGGTTAGGTTTTTGTAAAGCCAGAGAAAAATTAAAGGCCTGTTGATTTCTTCCAAAGACTTACTCCTCATCAACTTACTTTCCTTTACCAGGTAGCTTCTCATAACCTGATTATTGTCCAACAACTACTCTCTTAGTACTTTAAATTGTTCCATTATTCCAAAGCCTTCCCATGAAGGAAGGCTCAGCCCGTCTGTTGGTTTCCTCTGCCTGAGCATCCACTCAAACACAAGCCCCACCCCCTTGCAAAGGGAATCCAGCTGTAGTTGCCACAAACAGAAAAGTATGTTTGTTCTAAAAGAAAAACTAGAGCAGCCTGACTGTATCTCCTTGGTGAGGGAACTGATGATTTAATCAGTCTTATCCAAGACAAGAGCCAGAAGAGCTTTTAGGTCATCTAAAGTAGTCCCTCAAGTTCCAGAGAAGGAAACTGAGGCCCAGAGAAAGAGAGTGACTTTTCCAGGTCCCACAGTCAGACAGTCCAAATGACAAAGCTGATTCTATAGCTCAGGCTTCCTAGAACCTTCCCCCGTCCTGTCCACACCTGGCGTTGTTTCTGCTCCACCATGCCACCGCTTGTCTCTTGGCCCTGGTCCCCTGCAAGGTGTGCTGGTCTGCGTGAGAGAGGGCTGGCAGGCTAGCGGGGCAGGCCCTGGATTCTCTTCTCTGACATCCTCCGAGGGGAAGGAAAGCATGAGTGACCTCAGGGAGGGGCAATTTGCTTTGAAATCCAGGGGCCAAGGACCGTGGAGACTTTCCCCACTGAATTTGGCTCTCCTTTTTCTCTTTCTCTCTGTAATAGGTGAGAAACCCTATCGTTGCAACATCTGCGGGGCCCAGTTCAATCGGCCAGCCAACCTGAAAACCCACACTCGAATTCACTCTGGAGAGAAGCCCTACAAATGCGAAACCTGCGGAGCCAGATTTGTACAGGTGAGCAGGGTGGGGTGGAGGAAGGAAGGACCCCTAGGCCTGTGTGTGCTGCTGAGGGCTGCATGGAGCCCTGCTGCCCGCCCCGGCAGACCTTTCACACTTTGCCCCTCCTTTTAGGTGGCCCACCTCCGTGCCCACGTGCTCATCCACACTGGCGAGAAGCCCTATCCCTGCGAAATCTGTGGCACCCGTTTCCGACACCTTCAGACTCTGAAGAGCCACCTGCGAATCCACACGGGAGAGAAACCTTACCATGTATGTAAGCCTCCTGCGGCCAGTGGCTGACCTGGGGAGGAAGGGAGCCGGAGGGGCTGGGCGGCACAACTGTTTGCTCCAGTCTCGAGCACACAGTGGAATGACCAGGGAGGTAACTGTCAGAAGATCTGGATCTGGACCTGATTGTCAGACATGCTGCTTGACCTTGGCCCGAGTCTCAGTGTGAAAATGGGGGTATTGGGCTAGGTGATCCCCGCCTTAGGAAAGAAGTCCCGACTGTGGATACATAGAGTTTGGGTCATTCATTTGTTCCACAAATACTTATTAAGTATCTATAGCACACCCCATACTGGGCTATATGTACATTAAAAGGAGCTAAAGTGTTTGAGAAGGAGCAGTCTTAGGAGTGGGAGGAGAACCAGAAGAATAGTGTAAGAATTGATGATGTTATGATGAGGAACAAAAACAGAGAGAAAGTCCATTTTAAGAAAGAGGAGTGTCTAGGTACACAGCACAATGCTGTGGACAGGCCATTGGGGTTGGACTGTTCTAGATCAGGGTCTTGGCAAGTATGGCCTGCACACCAATGTTCGAAGATTCCATGAGCTAGGAGTGGTTTTTCATTAAAAAGAAAAGAATAATATTTTGTGACATATGAAAATTATATGAAATTTAAATTTCAGGGTCCATAAGTACAGTGTTACTGGAACACAGCCATGCTCATTTGTTTACATATTGTCTGTGGCTGCTTTGAAGAATTTATGGCATCACTCTAGGTGGTGCTGGGCACAAGAACTAATCAATGAATGGTTAACCTTCATTCCAGATGTTAACCTGCAAAACGTGATTATTTTTGTTCACTTGTTTGTCAAGCTTTGGCTGAATATCTTCCTACTTGCTGTTTGTCCTTGGGCAAATTAGTTATCCTCTTAGTATCTTAATTTCCTCATCTATAAAATGAGCCTGATGATAGTATCTACCTCATGTAGTTGTAGTATTAGCTAACTAATTCACTAAAGTATTCAGGATAGCACGCAAATATAGTCAGAGTACAGTAAATATATGCTAGAATTTTAGATTCATAGGATATCGCAGTTGAGAATGACCTTTGGCATGTACTGATCCAGTCCCTTCAGAAGGGAGATCCACGGTCAGAGAGAGAAATGACATGCCTGGGGCACACAGCAGTGGGTGGCATAGCCACAATGGACCCTATGTCTCCCAAGACCAGGGCTTTTTACATACTGCCCTGCCTGTTTTATTTATTTTTTCTTTTTCTTTTTCTTTTTTTTTTTTTGAGACAGAGTCTCACTGTGTTGCCCGGGCTAGAGTGCCGTGGCGTCATCCTCGCTCACAGCAACCTCAAACTCCTGGGCTCAAGTGATCCTCCTGCCTCAGCCTCCCGAGTAGCTGGGACTACAGGCATGCGCCACTATGCCCAGCTAATTTTTTCTATATATTTTTAGTTGTCCAATTAATTTCTTTCTATTTTTAGTAGAGACGGGGTCTCACTCTTGCTAAGGCTGGTTTTGAACTCCTGAGCTCAAACAATCCGCCCACCTTGGCCTCCCAGAGAGCTAGGATTATAGGAGTGAGCCACTGCGCCCGGCTCTATTTTTTATTTTTCTAAGTCTATTACGGTTTTCACTTTAACACATTTATCTGAATATATTTTATTCTCTATCTGAATATATTTTATTATACTTTGTATTTTAGAATAGTTTTAGATGTATAGAAAAATTGTCAAGATTGCACAGAGAGCTCCATATGCACCCATTCCCCCCTACTATTAACATCTTACATTAGTTTAATGCATTTGTCATAACTAGTGAACCAGTACTGATACCTAATTATAAATGAAAGTTCATATTCTATTTGGATGTTTCTACCTAAAAAAATCCATTGTCTTTTCTAAGATCTCATCTAGGTTACCCCGTTACATTTAGTCATCCATTTTATTTTTAAGAAACTTTTATCTAAACTAAAATTGTTATCACCCATTCATTGAATCAAGCAAGAAATAGCTCTATTTGCTAATGCTTTATTACGTTAGCTAAGATATACACCCTAAGAAGAAATATAACTGCATTTTTAAAAGTGTATCCGAGACTCCAGATTTCCATGAATTCAGACTGGTCTAGTCCATTTGTCCAAATGTGTTCAGATTTATTCATAATTTGCCTAAGAGGTATATTCTGCTAGGTACTAGGATGATTATAAAGTTTAGTCAAAAGGGGTCACTGTCCTCAAAAGTGTTACCCATCTAAGAAGGATCTTAATGCACAAGGATGGTTGCATAGCAAGACTAGAAATTGTACAGAAGTTCAAAGGAAAGAGAGATTATTTTTATAGTTGAGAGATTCAGGAAAGCTTTAATAACGAGGGGAGTTTGTATCTGAACTGCATTTTCAGATAAGACTTGAACTTGTGGAGTTAAAGCAGGGAATGACATCTCAAGCAAGGGAAAAGCATGACAGCACTTGGGAAAACAGGGAAGGGACATTTGCACAATGCTTACTTACCTCCTGGCAGAAGCTAGGATTCATATGGGTTCTTAAACTGGACTTTGAGAGAAAAGAACTGCCCCGGCCCTTTGCAAGGAGAATCTCCTTCTCTGGGCTTTTGAGCAATGACGAGTTTCTTGGGCTGATGACAGCTAACAGGTTGCCTCTGATATCCCTGCAGTGCGAGAAGTGTAACCTGCATTTCCGTCACAAAAGCCAGCTGCGACTTCACTTGCGCCAGAAGCATGGCGCCATCACCAACACCAAGGTGCAATACCGCGTGTCGGCCACTGACCTGCCTCCGGAGCTCCCCAAAGCCTGCTGAAGCATGGAGTGTTGATGCTTTCCTCTCCAGCCCCTTCTCAGAATCTACCCAAAGGATACTGTAACACTTTATAACGTTCATCCCATGATGTAGTGCCTCTTTCATCCACTAGTGCAAATCATAGCTGAGGGCAGGGGGTGGGGGGTGGGGCCCGGGGGACTGGGAGCCACGGCAGCTCCCCTTCCCCCACTGCCATAAAACATTAAGAAAATAATAATGCTTTTTCTCCTATGTGTAAGGCGAACCATGTCAGCAAAAAGCAAAATCATTTTATATATCCAAGTGGGGGAGTATGCAAAAGCTCTGACTTGACTTAGTCTGCAAAATGAGGAATGTATATGTTTTGTGGGAACAGA